ATCCCCAGCCAGTGCCATTTTCTTTCTTTTTTTTTTTTTTGCTCCTTGAATGCCTTCAGGGCACTTTTTGGTTGGCTGGCGTGTGGTGGGGATGAACTAAAGCAACCTGAGGCTGACCTCTTTGTGGAGCAGCCTCTTAAAGAACTGAGCTAGGGCCAGGCCTCCCCAGTGCCATTTTCAAGAACACATTTACAGAAGCCAGGCACAGCAGTACAAATCTGTAATCTCAGGTACTCAGGGGGCTCAGGCAGGTGGATCACACATTTTAGGATAGCCTGGGAAACTTAGTAAGATCCTATCACAGAATTTAAAAATAAGAAGATATGAAGATGTAGCTTAGTAATAGAGTACTCACCACCTAGCATGTACAAAGTCCTGGTTTCAATCCCTAATACCATACACACACACACACACACACACACACACACACACACACACACACACAATTACTAATAGCAATATTATCTTCCATCTTCTTAGCTCAAAATGTCACTATCATAAAAAAGTAATTGATAGCCTGATGAAAAGCACTAGCAGAGACTACTGTCACTTGGGAATCATTTCTTTTTTTTTTTTTGGTGGAACCAGGGATTGAACTCAGATCCTTGCGTTTGCCAGTCAAGCACTTATCCTACTGAACCATCTCCCTGGCCCCAGGAATCATTTCTTGTTGCTGTATCTGGGCATGTTCTGTCTTATAACAAGAGATATACGTTCTCATGGATGAAATTCCTGCCTCTATTTTCTCTATACTATGAAATCTTATGTAGATACTATGTACTCAGTAGTTGCCAAAACGCAATCCTCACAAGAGAGCACTGGTTTTTGGTTTGTTTCGGTTTGGTTTGATTGTCCGAAACTGGAGCTCACTATGTAGTTCAGGTGGGCCTCAAACTTGCAGGGATCCTCTTCTCAGCCTTCCAAATGCTGGGCTTACAGCCATGCACCACCACGCACTATGGAAGACAGCACTGCTAAAATAAGACAATCTTCTTTGTTTGGCCTCCAGTTTTCTATATGTATAAATATGAAAAAGATGTATCTGTGTGTCAGGGTATTTTTCATATGTTTGACTAATCCTTGATATAATCTCTGTATATTCAGCCATTATAGGACAATGAAGATGATATTAGCAACCACAAAGTAATAATAATAATAAATAAAGTTAGCAAGTGCTGATTCCCTAATAGATGGCCTCTGGGAGATCTACTGTTTATAAACAAAGGACTTTGATGTGGTAGATTTATACTGTTTTAATATTCTAGGAATTTAGTAAACCTCACAGGTACCACATATGAAAATAGAGGGTCTGTAAGAAAACTTGCGACAACAGTGATTTTGCTCTTCCACAGCTTTCAGTGATATGCTATGGAAAACTCAGTTAGCCAAAAAGCAGTGTACTAGATTTTTGCATTTTATTTCTCCATACTCCTTTCTCCAATTCAAATTACTGCCAACACAAGGTGAAGTGAAAGTTCACACCCAGACCAACAAAACTCTCCCCATCCCAAATCATGTTTCATAATGCATTTAGAATGATCAACCTCAAAATCTCCTCTAGATTATGACACACACACACACACACACACACACACACACACCTCTCTTTCAAAGTATCAGGATCTTTTGTTTTTGTTTGTTTGTTTGTTTGTTTGTTTGTTTTCTGAGATACGGTCTCAGTATGTAGCCCAGGCTGGTCTTGAACTTGCAGTAATTCTCTTGCCTCAGCCTCTTCAGAGTTGGGATCACAGGCACACACCACCACATCCAGCCTCAGGGTCTTTACAGTAAAGCTAATCTCCTTAGTTTATGATTCAAGCTCCTCTATAATCTGATCCTAGAGTCCATAATCTCATCTCCTACTATATCCTCCATCTTGAGCCACATATTTCATAGAAGACACGATGCTTGATGCTTAGAATATATGGTGCCTCTAAGAACTCGCCCTGCCCAGGGAATTTAACAATTTAGCAAGATCCTATCTCAAAAAATAAAAAGGCTGGGGATGTACTTCAGCATGAAAGCTATGGGTTGGGGGCTGGTGAGATGGCTCAGTGGTCTAAAGCACCTACTTAGAACAAGCTAAGCTAAGCTAAGCTAAGCTAAGCTAAGCTAAACTAAGCTAAGCTAAACTAAGCTAAGCAAAGCACAGGGCCCGCGGTTCAATCCCCCAGGGCCCGCGGTTCAATCCCCCAGGGCCCGCGGTTCAATCCCCCAGGGCCCGCGGTTCAATCCCCCAGGGACCACGGTTCAATCCCTCAGTACCACATGCCAGCCAGCCCCGCCCCCTGGTGGGCTGAGCTGGCCACACACACAAAATGAATGAATGAATGAATAAATAAATAATTCTTTAAAAAAAAAAAAAGAAAGAAAGAAAGCTATGGGTTGAATCTCCAGTACTAGAAATAAGAATTCCACATAATAAAACCCCTTCTCTGCAAAGCCTCCCTGAATTTCTAGTCATCCCCAAAGTTATTCATCCATTCAGCAAATAATTACTGTGCACTTATGCATAAGCTACAAGGTAGGTGCTGAAGATATAACAATGAGCCAAACATGGTTTTTACCTTCACCCAGCTAGTATCTACCAGCTAGGTTGCCACAAGAATTAAATCAGACAAAATATATAAAGCATTATAAACAGTATATTCTCATCATGTTGAATAAATACTAATGTAGCTGCTAAGCCAGTCTATCTAAAATAATTGCCACACATATAACACACTTTATATCTGACCTTGGTTTATTTTTTTCTTAGTAAGTATAACTATTTTTCATTATATATTTATAGATTTCTTCTTTGTCTATCCCCACATCCTCCTCTCATCATGTCTTTTTTTAACCACTGTAACCACAGTGCTACAACATACTCTGGCCCTTAGCAGCTGGTCAAGAATCACCTCCGTGTCAATTATCTTTACACTCTATTGATGCAGACAAGTCAAATAATCACAAGAAATACAAAATTACAATTGATATGTATTTTACCATATATGCCACTGTACTTGCCATAATAAACATTTGAAAAATATAAAATACAAGGTTTATAATAAACACTTGTGCAACTCTATTTACCGAGTGCCTACTAAATCTACTGCACAAAGAAAACAAAAAGTAGCTCCTATGAGTTATTTCCAGCTCACAATAAGCTAGTATTTTGCTTTCTCTTCACTCTCCTGCACATGCACTCTGTGTGTAGATGTTTTAGTAAATGAGGAAAATCAAGCTAGTTGTATGCAAAAGTTTAAACATAATAATATAATGCCTAACATACCTATGATCTTCCTACATCTCTCAAATTCAGGTGGAAATTCTAACCCTCAAGGTGACAGTGTGAGGAGAGAGGACAGCAGAACCCTCATGTACAGAATCAGTGCCCTTATAAAAGAAGCTCTGAAGTTGCCTTGGTCCTTCTACTGTATGAGAACACACAAAGAAGATGCCAACTCTGAATTAGAAACACAGCCTTCACTAGACAATCTGCCAGTGTCTTGATTTTAGACTTCCAAATCTCCAGAATTCTCAGAAATAAATGTCTGTGGTTTATTTATTTATTTATTTATGGTACCAGGAATCAAACTTGTGCTTGTCAGGCAGGCACTAGGCTACTGAGCTATATCCCTGGCCCTCTGTGATTTATAAGTTAGCTGGGGTACAGTATTTTATTACAGCAGCCAGAACAGATTAAGGTACTATCTTCCCAGTCTTATTCCCTACTATACAACTTTATTCCTGCATTGTTCCATACTACATAAATATAATCCTGCTCTCATAAATCTTGATTTCTTTCTATTTTCTATTTATACCTTCAGTGAAGCTTTCTTCACTTTCCCAAAATGATCTGCATGAATCTACTCATCTTTCAAGGTCAGCTCAAGTGACACTTTTGGATCCTAAATACCCAAACAAATTTATAACTCTTCCCTCTGTACTAATACATTCATTCACAGTAAGGCTAAAAATCTCAGGAAAAGCAACTTCCCAGAAGTCTAGCAATTTGTTGATTTAGGTAGGATGGCTCTTTATTCTAAAAAGAATACTACCGCATCTAAATTTCTTTCTCAGAAAAAAAAATCCTCAAAACTCACTATGTATAGTCTAATTACCTCAAATTTCTGCTTGAGATTGTCCTTGTCTGTGGGAAAATGAAATCATAGAGTCAATTGGTCAAGTACCTACTTGACCTGGGCATGGGGAATAATAGAATAAGCAACACAGTTGCTGCTAGAACTTGTTTCTTCTAGGAGAGAAACAATTTAATGCAGTGTCTGTGTTGCACTGTGAAGGAGACAGATACAGGAAAAGGACCACCTATAAGCAAGAGTCACTCAGTCAGGGAAAGTTTACAGATTAAATGAGTTGGCAGTTAAGAGACACTTTGCTAAAAATCAGATGTAAGGAAAACCCAAACTGACTAAACTAGAAGAATATGAGTACCAGGATTTAGTTTTGACTAGAATGTCATATTGCTCTCAGGATAAAAATAAAAATAGCCTGCTGTGCATAATAAATTTTTCAATGAATGTACAGCAAACTACTTATATCCCAACTTAAGTCTCAATTTATTTTTGAAACATGAAGACAATCTGCAAATAAAAGATTCCCCCTAAGAAAGGGCAAAACAAATGAACCCTTTAGGAGGTAATAAAAAGACTGACACTCTGCCTGCCAAGCTGATTTTTCAGTCCTGAAATGCCCTTGGTCTCTGCCTCCAAACAAAAACAAATCATTTTTTCTAAGTATTAACAGTTAAGCTTGTACATAATATCTTTAAACTTCCCAAATTGGATCCTCACATTAAAAGCCACTTAAAATAAATTTTTTTTAAAAAAATCTTTTTTTAGTTATTTATGTGAAAAAAGGTCACAATCTGGCTTTAGAGTCCTCACCTCAGCACTCTGTACAACCCACCATCATTCAGGTCTTGCAATGAAGCTTCCACGCTCTCTTCCATACTCCCAATCCCCCCGTTGTAGCCCCACCACCACCACCACCACCCCCAAAAAAAGGCAGAAAGAAAGAAATGGAGCCCATGAATCCCTATGCCCCCACTCTCCCAGCTTCTGGGAAGCAACAGCCTTCAAATTGTTCCTGCTCAGACCCCTGAAGCCATGGAAGGAAATGAGGACAGCTGTGTGTGAGCGAGGACATCCGATCAGGGAGAGCGGCGCGGAAGGCAAAGATCGGAGGGAGGAGGGGGCAGAGGGTAAAATGGTGAAGAGGGAACGAGGAGAGCAAAGTGCAAGAGCGGAAAATAGAGAAGGGGGATGGAGTCAAGACCACAGAAAAGCGAATAAGCAAAATGGTCGAGAAGAGAGGGAGGGTGAAAGGCCAAAGAGGGGGATGCAAAGGGGCCGCGAAGGAAGCTGTCACCGAGGGTGGGGTGTCACCGAAGGGGCTCTCCCCGGCAGGTGGACGGGGAGCGCGGGGCGCGAGGGGCTGGATGCGTGGGCGCGGTGCCGGCTGGCCGAGGCGCGGGCGGTCGCCGGGGACCCCGGGCCGAGGGAGGGGCGCCGCGGGCGAGGCGGCCGGGCAGGCCCGGCTCCCTCACCATGGCTGCGCCGGCCTGGTCCTCGGGCATGCAGCTTCTGTCCGGGGTGTGGCGGCGGGCCAGCCCCAAGCCCGCCCCCGGGCTGAGCCAGCGCGAGGGCTCCAGGGGCTCCGGCAAGGGACAGCTCTGGGCTCGGCCCAGGCCTCAGCCTCCTTGGCTCCAAAGCTGGAAGGGCAGCCGCAGCTGCAGCCAGAGCCGCACACAGACTCCACCCCCTACGAGACCCCGCCCACCCGCGATGGGCCCCGCCCCTGTCCACCGCGCAGACTCCGCCGCGGCCCCGCCCCCGTCCCGCCCACCTAGGCCCTTAAAGGGGCAGGGCCGCTTCCAATTTGCCTGGCCTCTCAAAGAAAAGAGCTGTAAGTCTTGGGTTAAGACTAGAGGACTAAGGCACTTGCTGCGGTTGTTTTCGTGTCTTTCTGTCACTTACCACCGTTCTTTCACACTTTCGCTTATGACTGTAACTCATGACTACTGTCATCATGTTTCACAATTTCAAGGTTCTTAGGTGATTTTTCCAATGCTCTGGTCTGTCGGGTTCCTCTCTAGAGGCCATCCCGCTTCAGCCTCTCATTCACATGCTCATGCTTCTACTACAAATAATTGTAATTTCTCTCCCTCCCTTCCCCTCCCCGTCCCTGTTCTCTCCTCCCCTGGCCTCTCAGGTGCTATGCACGCTGCACCACTAAGCCACATCCCTGCGCCCTCTAATCTCCGTTTTAATCATCTAACTTCCACCTCATTCTTCTTCCTTTCAAGCTCACTCCTTACAATATGCCAACTCCAAATACTCAACTCCATCAAGCCCCCCAACCCTCTGATTCCACTACCTTTTCACTGTCCCTCCTTCTGAGGTTCTATCATCAAGAGGAAAGACAGTCCCATTGATCTGTACAGGATAGAAAGTCCAAAAATATATCTAAACATATATGAAATTCAGTATGATAAAAGTAGAATACACATCAGCAAGAAAAATATTGCTGATATTTTGTATTTAGAATAGCTGGATAGCCACCTAAGCTATTTGATGTTAAAATAGCTGGATAGCCACCTAAAGAAACTTTAATTTAGAACTAGGTCTCATGCTATTCAGCAAGATAAATTTCAAATAAATCAAAGATTTAAAGGTTAAAGAAAGGGCTGGTGAGATGGCTCAGTGGTCTAAAGCATCTACTTAGAACAAGCTAAGCTAAGCAAAGCACAGGGACAGTGGTTCAATCCCCCAGCACTACATGCCAGCCAGCCCCGCCCCCTGGTGGGCTGAGCTGGCCACACACACACAAAATAAAAATAAATAAATAAATAAAATTGTATAAATAAATAAAGGTTAAAGAAAAAGTGACTGGCTAGGCATGCTGTTGAACACACCTGTCACCCAGCACCAGGGAGGCTGAAGCTGGGGAATCACTGTGAGTGCAAGGCCAGCCTAGGTTACAATGTAAGTTCAGGGCTGGGAATATAGCTCAGTAGCACAAGTGCCTGCCTGGCAAGCACAAGGTCCTGAGTTCAATTCCCGCTACCAAAACAAAAAGTGAATTCAAGGCCAGCCTGAGTTGCATAGTGAAACTCTGTCTTAAAAAGAAAAGGGGGAAAAAAAAAAAAAGAAAAAGAAAAGAGTGAATAGACTTCATGACCTGTGTTTATAATCCCAATACTTTAGGAGCCTGGAGTAGGAAAATCAAAAGTTTGAGCCCAGCCTCGGCAATTTAGAAACTTAGTAAGGTCCAATCTCAAAGGAGGGGGTTGGAAGCAATCCTGGAGATGGGTCAGGAATACTCTACCACTGAGCTACAACCCCAGCCCTTTTATTGTTTTTGATTTTTTAGACAGGGCCTCTCTAAATCACTAAATTGTTCAAGCTAGAATTTATGACCTTCCTGATTCAGTCTCCCAAAGTTCTGGCATGTGCCACCACATCAAGCAAACAAAACAAAGAAAAAAAATTGTAGTGCTAACAGTTGAGATCAGGGATTTTTTTATGTGTCGGGGTGGGGGTGGGGTGTGATGGAGGGGGTACCAGGAATCAAACTCAGGACTTTGCATTTACCAGGCAGGTGCTGTGCCATTGAGCTATATCTCAACCCAGACCCAGGACTTTTGATTGAGTTACATCTCTAGCTCCTTTTTTAATTTTTGAGACAAAGTCAAGTCTTACAATCCTTCTACCTTAGCTTCCCAGGATGCTGGGTTTATAGGTTTGCACCACCATGCCTGACTTTATCAAATTTTTAAACAAACATTCTCTTTTACCCAACAAGTCTACTTCTTTTTCCTTTTCCTTCTTTTTCTTT